GCTATAGTGACAGCCAAAATGTTATACCAAGCAAATTGCTTATTGATGGGAAAATGCTGAGTAGCACAGCAGCATCCTTTTTCTGTTTTTTTATTGCCTTCATTTCCAACTCTACTCTTAAGATTAATGGATTTTTTTGAGTGCTGTTTTGTTTTGAGCAAGCTTTGAGGACTTGATGTTAAAATAAATGCATTTTATTATCATGCAGTGGCTGGCAATTGAATATATTTGAATATGGTGTGATCAACCTAGAGTTATTTTTTATACACTATTTGTTTATCAGAATTTTTTCTCTACTTGGAACTGAATTTTTGAATTGTAGTTATTAATGTTAAAGGAGCAAATAGGAATTTGGTTTCATAGCATGGAGACTTTTGAGCTTAATATATCTAAAACTAATATCGAAGAAACATAGCCTTTTTTAAGGTTTATAACTGTTAAGAGATATGTATAATAGTATATTCAAAATATATGTTAAAAAACACAGAAAAACAAATGGAAATGGTCTGAGATCATCCATAATGATTACTGGTCTTTTTTTATTTTTAATAAAAAAAACCAAAAACCTCAATTAGCTTCAATAATTTGTATTTCTCTATGTAGTAAATTCAGTGATATAATAGAAATTCCTTCAATGTCTCTGTGTATGAGTATATGTATGTATATATCACTGTATATATATACATACATACACTTACACATATATACACTGATATATATGCACATCTGTATAAAATACATGTACACATATAAAAAATAAAAAAAAACTTTTGATTATCTCAATGATGATAAGAAAATATTACAAAGATAAAATCATAATCCATTTGATACTTAACCTTAAGGCAGGATATGAACTATCGTGTGTTTCCCAGTTGTTCCGCATATAGAAAGGATGGAGGCTATGTTTAGATAAATCTTTTCAGCTAATGAAAGATGTATATGTCAGTGATATATTATGCATTGAGTTTTTGTAAAACTTAAGGACTCCTCTTGATTAATTTATTTCCCAGTTGCTACTGGTTTAAAAGAAATGGTAGTTAATGGATTATTGAGGAACTAAAAGTACAGATGAGATATTTTGGCCCTATAAATATAATACTTCATTAATTTCCTGAATATGGTAATGCAGAAAGCTTTGTACTATTTTTATTAAAGAATGTAAACACGTTTGTGACCTACAACTTTTTGTATTCCTATGCTGATATACAGTATTTACAAATATAGTTTTTTTGAAGGAAACTTGTCTGGTAATTTTGTTTGTAATTAACTATGACACAATAATGATGATAACCCTTATGGTCCAAAATGAACTTTCTTAGGGAAATTTATTGGTATTCTTTTCTACTCATTGTTAAAAACTTGGGTTGTTTTGATTTTGACATTTGTTTTTTCCTTGCCTTGATATTTTCCAGTGATATACCTAGGCTCCCACTTAAAAAACAAAATTAAAATTTATATATTGAAAGAAATATATAATTTCTATTGTTACTATAGGTTGTTGTTTTCAATTCCTCATTGACATTGTAAGTTTTACTGGAATATTTTGGTTGACATTCTAATTTTGGTTTTAGGTCTGCAGAAAAAAAGAAGAGAAATATACAAGCCTGCCAATTCAACATTTATAATTGTCGAAAAATTATCCTTGTGTGGCTTATAATTAATCAAATGCCTTGGTTCCAAACTAAATTCATTGGACAGTCCTGTTGCATCCATTATATCCTTCTATTTCTTCAAACAATTTTAGTTTCTTTCTGCCTCTAGATCTAATAGTTAGGTAACTACATTCTTCATGATTGATCTTGATATAGCCGGCCTTGTACAGAAACTTTCACTGAATCTCAGTTTCTTCCACAAAGTGTCTAATTTCTTTATGTGGCAATAAATGCTAAGAGTCTCTACTTGATTTTTCAAGCTTATCTATCCTTTTCTTCTTACACCTAAACAATATATTTATTGTTTAAATTTCCACATGTATTCACATAATTATATTTTTTGAAGCATTTACATATATTTTGATATGCCCCATCCCTTACTGTAGTGGTTGAATTTCAATGTGAATAAAATAATCAGGCCTTCCCCTGAAGTTATTGTCTTTGATTGCTACTGAATATAAATATTGTTTTGCAGTCAGTATTTTTGTTATCTTAAATAGTCAAATGGTGACAATAAATTATTTTGACAAAAATTATTTAACATTCATAATTTATTTCATTTATCTATTTTAAGGTCAAATCTTGGAAAATGTGTGGCTAGAAATGGTATCTCCCTCACTCTGCATTGCAACACAGTATCTTTCTCCTGCCTATTTATTTTTTATTGCATATTGTAATTTTTTTAATCATGCTTTATTTCTTCTCCTTGAATGTAAGTTTACTGATACAATAAGCCTTGCAAATACACTTCCCAAATGATGTATGTATTCAGTAGATATAAAGAAAATAAATATGTACAGAATAGATAGGTACAGGAATGAATTATGTTGTCCTTATGTGACATGATAGAAACATCAATTTCCAAATTAATTCTAATTACAACCAGTCAAAATATAGTGAAAATAATTAGGATTGGCTTCCTTATTAGCAACGTAAACCACTCAGATACTCAAGGTACTAAGAATATGGCAATTTAATGTTAAAAGTACTTATAAAATAGCAATGATTAAAACTATATGGTTTAACTAAATTCCTATGGATAGGAATTTTAGCCAAACATTAAATCAAAATAGCCAGTGAAGATCTCTGAATGACACCCCTTTTTGTCTTGAATTTATACCATTGCCTTCTGTCCATATGACAGGCCTTAGTTACATGGTGATTATCACCACTTTATAGTTTACCAAGCATTACATTACGTTAGGAAAGTGAAGCACTTGATAATGACAAAATAGAGTAAGTATATTATACCTTTTATCCTTTTACTTCGATTTCAAATCACTTGAAAATGAGTGTTCTTTCAGTTTTCTAATAGACAGAAGCTGTATTTCTGGTATATTAAAAGTTTCTGACTGACTTAGATTAGGACATGGCCTGATGGGAATGCTCAGGACACCTGCATGTGTTTTTCAGAATCCATGTGACAAAATAGCACTGTGCTGTAGCTATTTGTATCTGTTATGTCTTTAAGAAAGTCATACACTGAATGAAAATATCTTAAGACTTGGCTTAATTCAGTAATGGTTTTCAAAGCTGCAGCACAGGTGATGACTGGTTTTCTGTAGGTATTGTGGAGATGCTTGCTTCAGGGACAGTTCAACACAGGACTGGAACTTTTAGTATTTGACATAAAGGATCAAATAAGTTTCTTTCCTATGACTTGTGTACAAAGTCATTATATAAAGAAGTGACAGTTTCCTTCAGAGCTGCTTAGATATGAAATTAAGGAGCGAATTGATATGGGTTAATCACACACATGAAAAGCTAATGAGGGGTTGGGGTTGTGGCTCAGTCTTAAAGCGCTTGCCTAGCATGTGTGAGGCACTGGATTTGATCCTCAGCACCACATAAAAATAAATACAATAAAGGTATTGTGTACACCTATAACTAAAAAAAAGTAAATAAATACATAATACACCCCAATGTTTTATATAAACTTTTGCTGAGGTTAAAGAATTGACATTTGTTTTTACAATTTTTAATCATCAAATAAGAAATATGGTGGTTTAGAGATTTCAAAACAGTCACAGATATTAAGTAACATTGTCTGAAGATACTGGAAGCTGAAATAAGTAATGAAACAGATCTTTAGTAATATTCTACAACAGTAAGTGTTTTTTGTCTCTAAATAAAGCTAAGCTCCTAGAAAGAGTATGCCAATCTGAAAAGCAATTTGAAATTGACCTTCTCAAGAGACAATGCAATATAGGAATGCAATAATATTTGTAGATCCATTACCCCCTGTGTCTTATAAAATGGGTACTCATCAAATGGTAATAATTAGAAAGTAGATACATGTATAGCCTTTATTTCTTATATTAGAATGGTATCATGTAGGAAAAAGTACAACATGAATTTCTGTAATTTTATCAGTCTAACATCATCTGTTTCTTGTGTGATCATTTGTCAAGAATTCTTATTTATGAATGGTTTTCAGTTTGTATTTGCAAAAACTTTAACTTGACAGTTTGTCAAAAAAGTAGACACACTTTTCTTCCACTCTCAGGATTCTGCTTAAATAGTTTTGGAGTGGTTGCTAGGAAACTGTATGTCTGAACCTCAGTTGATTTGGTGCAGGTGGCTTTGGTTTACATGCTGAAGAGCAAAGAGATGGAAATGTTTCAGACAGCAGATCAGAATATTCTGGGGAAAAGATGACAAACAGTTTGAGCTATTGAATTCTGTTTGCTCAATTTCATGAGGAAATGTGATTTGTGTTAATAATAAGGTTATTTTATTAATTCAAAATCAGGTAGATATTTATGCACAATTGGTTCTTAAATTTGACCTGTACTTGTCAAGTTCTACTCTGGTAGGTAGAAATGTATTTGGCCCATGCCAAGAGTTAGGAGATGATAGGCTATATCCAATAATGACTTTTGATTAATTGATTGTTAAAAGGAAATTACCATAAAATGTAATATTATTTGAATAAATTCATGATGAAATTATAATTTTGAAGACACCAAACTTAAAAAAAAATAATTTTTTTAACACACAGATTTCTCCCCATCTCTACCCCTCAAACATGGAGATTGCCCTGGGACATCTCTAGTGCATTTTTTTCCACTCTTTTTGTTTTATATTTTGTTTTGCTTTCTCATTTATGGTGAGCATAGTGAATTGTTAGTATCTAGATATTTTTGCCTATTTTTACAACTCAAGTAGTCTGTTTGTACTCTTTTTTAAAAAGTCGCTGTTTCATTGGTTTAGAAAAAAATGACCTACCTTCTTCTTATACCAAAAAAAAAAAAAAAAAGCAACCATACATTGCCAAATTTTCACCTGCATAATTACACTGAAACAGATACATTATAGTCAATCTGTTCATTTCTATTTTATTTGCAGATTCAAGAATGGCTTTGTTTAAATTGCCAAACCCAGAGAGCAATATCAGGACAGCTAGGAGACATGGGCAAAACACCAAGTATACCAGCAGGATCCAAAGCCTCTCCGGTACCTGTCCCTGCAGAACCACCATCTCAGAAAACAGCAGTGCCTGCCCAAGTAAAAGTAAAAAAGAAGGAACCAGAAGTAAAAGTTGAAGCTGAAAAACTTATTCCAGAAAAAGTAAAAGAAATACCTTCAATTGAAAAAATTCTGCCTAAAGGAACCACAGATCAAAAACAAGAAGAGAGTAAACTAAAGAAAGATGTTGTTTCAACCCTTCAAGAAAAAAAGCTACCTTCCAAAGAAGAAAAACCCCTCTCAGAAGAAAAAGTATTAATCCCCGAGGAAAAGCAGCCAACCTCTGAAGACAATAAGTTACCCCCAGAAGCAAAATCATTGGTTGTAGAAGAGAAAGACAAACATGAGGTACTCAAAGCTGAAGGACAGACTGCTGAAGAAACACATGAAAGCAGAGTGTCTCCAGAGGCAGTCCAAGAAGAAAAGCAACCACAGGCCCAAATGGAAGATTTGCCACCTGGTACACAGAGTTTGCCCAAGGAAGAAGTTAAAATAACTGCAAAAATGAAAGAACAGCCACAAGCAGCAGGCATCACAAAATCTGATCAGGTGGAACCTGGGAAAGAAAAAACAGTAAGTTATATTTTTCTAACTTTGCTTAGTCTCCTGTGTTTATATACATATACCAATTATTTACAAAATGCACTAATTTTTACTAAATACACAAATTATTCAATGATAATTACAGACCTGAAGGACTTTTCGCAGTGCATTACATTTTCAGAGAAGTGTAATAATTTTTTGCTGAAATTTACTTTAACTTTAGATAGTTTAATCAAATTTACATAAAATATAATTATGATTTGTTTTTCTATCTCATGTCTATCAAATAACTTATCTAAATTATATAGAGTGATAAATTTCCTATAGTTTTAAGTTACTCCGTTTCTTCACAATAGACATGTCAATATTTCCTTTCAATGTAAAATTATGTGTCTTTATATGTTTCTATTCATTTAGTCACTTGGTTTTCAAAAGGCTACAAGTTTCTTCCTACTTGAAAGCCTTATAAGGTATGGTCATCCATAAAATGATTGCCAAAAGTACAAAAGAGTTGTGGCTAAAATCCAGAATAAAAACAATTATTCATAAAGTAGTTTATTTTAGTATTTAACCATGATTTTAACATTATGTATTCTGTTAATAATTTTGTTCAGTATATCTAATATTGAGGATTTATTTATAATCCAAATACAATCTGGAATAATATATATTCTTCAGCAGAAACTTTTAAGAGTACCTCACTTTAAGTAGTATTTGCACAAACAATTGTATCATTTTTAAAGTAGCTCTGATGTTTGTAGAGCTACAAAAGATCTTATACCATCTAATGGAATAATTTAATTCACAGTTAACAGCAATGATATATAAAGAAATTATTTTATCAGTACTAAAGCTCCAACTAGAAATTATAGTCTATTACAACCCTGATTTAAGGTTTTTTAGTCTATAGTTTGATTACATGGCTGCTAACCCTAACCCTTCTCTAATATATGATGCACTGCACATTAACTAAATGAATCCTGGTATTCTTGTGTTATATAAATAAGTGTTATCAGAGCCAAAAATAAAAGCAGATTTAGTAGATTCTCCATTATAATGACTAGCTCTAGCCATCATTTCCCGATGTTTTTATTAGCGAACTCTTTTGCAGAATTTAATGTTTTATACTGATTCCCACTTTAGTAAACTCTCCATAGTTTTCATGAGCTCTCTTTTTTTTTTTTTTTTTCATTTTTCTCTTAAGAAGTCTGGTAAATTCTAAATTGATAAATTGACTATCTCTATGAGTTTTCTTTTGCCCATCCCAAAACAATTAAGTTTTTCTTTGGGTTCTGTCTTCTTTCTCCCAGGAGAGCCACATGAACACTTCTCACATTTACTCCCTTTCTTCACAATAGACATGTCAGTATTACTCATTCTCCTTCTGCTTCTGAGTGTTAGAACTGAATTTTCAAGTAACAGGTAGATAGTTCCCTTCAAAACCTCACTATAAACTCAAATTCATTATGTCAGAGTCTTATTCACTTTTCTATAGAAGCATCTTCTCCTTCCAGCATTCTAATAAAGGCACCATTACTCACTTACCACCTGCTTTCCAGTGCTAATCTGTTGAGTGATCTGAGTTCTTCTTACCTTCCCTTTGTTCTCTACATGGAAGTTATTACATTCCCCTCCTAGTCCTAAGGACACTATCCTACTTACTGCTTGTGTTGGCCTTTGTCAATGACTTGGGTAATCTGATTACTGATCATCACCTTGACTCCTCTTTCTCACTTCTCTAGTATATAGTTTTCAAATACGTTTGTTTTCAGGGTTAACAATTTAAGTTCATCACTCAACTATTCCCAATGATTCTATGTTGAATTTTAAGTGTAACTTAAGAAATACTTGGGATATTTTGAAGTACACTAATTTTGTTTCCATTCTACACATTTATCATTTTCTCTTTATTATTATAAATGCAACTTCAATATGCATGTACAAGTTGAGTAGCTATAATCCAAAAATCCAAAATCTAAAATGTTTCAAAATATTAATCTCTGTGAGTTCAGACTCAGTGATGCTACAAATGGAAAATTTCACATCTGTTCTCATGTATGGGTCTTAGTCAAAATGCAAAGACATTAAAAATATTGTGCAAAATCACCTTCGGGCAATGCACATAAGTGTATATGAAACATAAGTGAATTTTATGTTGAGACTTAAGTACCACACCCAAGGTGTTTCATTGTGTATATGCAGATATTCCAAAATCCAAAAAAATCTGAAGTCCAAAATACTACTTGACTCCAGCTTTTTGTATAATAGATATTCAACCTGTATTAATTTATTCATAAATTGAATATCTGCACTGTTTTACTACTATATTGTAAAGCATTCACAATGAATAGAAAATAAGTCAGTGAAATAAACTAAAATCATCATTGTCATATTTATTTAAATATATGTATGTTTTCACATTAAAATGTTATTAAAAATAATATATATATTTTAAAAACTTTGAATACATATTAGTATTTTTTAAAATCCTGGTCTAAAGTTTTATGTTAGAATTATTTGAAATCCAACTTCACAGTTAAATTATAGTATAAACTATTTTAACTGTACATAGCAGAAAATGGATAATTTTCACAAGAATATTCCATAAATGGAAGAAGTAACCCAAATTTTTTAAACACCAAATCTTGCTATCTGATTTCCATGTATAGCTTTGGACAGCAGTTATGGAAAGAGTTGTGAAAAATCCACATATAAATGTTATTCTTCACTGATTCTCATCATTTGTTCTTGTTAACTAACAGAAAGTGTGTTTTTTTAAAAAAAATTTATTTTTAACAAATGGCTTTTAAAACCACTCTAGAGTTCTTCATTTTGGAGATTTTTTAAGCTGATTAAAATATTATGTTTTAAAATTTATTGAATAAGTAGATATTACAGATTTTAAAAGTGGAATGTCATTTTATGTAGCATAATAACATGATGATTTCAAAATATTTATCTTCAAAGAGCTGTTTCTACATCACAGTTTTCTCATAGAGATAGATAATATTTGCATAACATACCTAAATATGTAACAGGCAGCATTTTCTGGTAACCAATATTTATTTTCTTCCTACATAGCTAATAAGTAGCACATTGCCAATAACCATTTGTCATCACCAAAAAGTTGGACAACTTTGGAATTCTTCTCTTTTTATTTGAATTAATTAAATCCTCATATTCTGCTACTTTTAAATTAATTTAATGAATTTAAATAAGTAATTTAATTAAATTAGTAATTTAGTGAAGTTCTGTGAGTAAAATAATTTCATAGTTATTTTCCATCTCAGCACAAAGTTAATACCTTCAAAACACAAAGAAAGATCTTGTTGGTATAAAATGTACTACTTTAGTAACATTCTGAGGTACTATACAATCCTGGCTTATTTATAACAGATACAGTAAATGAATTTCACATATGCTGCTATTTATGTAACCTTTGCAACTCTTATTGTTTTAAAAAGAATAATTCAAATAAGTGAAGCCACTCTTCAATATTTAATATGCAAAGTTTTGATATTAAAATATGTTTAATATATATATACATAAATGTGAAATTCACTGTGATATATTCATGTATGTACAAAGAATAGTTTGATCAGTTTCATTCTACTCTTTCTCTCTTTTCCCATCCCTCTTCCTGCCCCTTCAGTCCCTTGGCTGTACTCCACTGATTTCTAATTTCATGGGATTCCCTAACCCCTTTCTTTCCCCTAGAAAATAATTTGGTCTAGCTTTTGCATATGAGAGAAAATATTGAACACTTGAATTTCTGCTTCTGAATCATTTCCCTTAGGGTGATGTTCTGCAGTTCCATACCATTAACCAGCAAATGCCAATATTTCTTCATTTTTTATTGCTGAGTGAAACTCCATTGTATGTATATATAAACTCACACAATGGAGTTTCTATATACACACACATATATTTATATGTATACATATATAAAACTTTCTTTATCCATTCATCCATTCACAAGCATTTGGGCTGGTTCTGTAACTTAACTGTTGTGAATTGTGGTGCTAGAAATATTGATGTGGCTGTATCACTATAGTATGCTGATTTTAGGTCTGGATACATATAAAGGAGTAGGATAGCTGGATCATATGGTGGCTCCATTCCTAGTTTTTTTGGAGAATCTCTATACTATTTTTCACTAATTAAAAAAAGGAAAAAACTATAAATAAAAATATAAATAAATAAAATCCCAGTATAATAGAGGAAAGTGAAATGGGGAAAAAGGACATAAGGGAAAGGGGAAATACTGAGGAATAAATTGGAGCAAATTAAATTCCATGTTTGCCTAATAATGTCAAAATGAACCCCAATATTATGTTAACTATAATGCACTGATAGAAAATCTGAAAATATATGTGCACCTTAATTAAACAAATCACTTAATATTGAGGTTATTTTCATTGGTACATTTTTCTCAATTGCTCAAAATAGTAATTCTCTTAAGTATTTTATCATTTAAACAGAAATAGGGAATATTATGAACTGAGGACATTAGAAATGTCCATAATTTGATTCTAATATTCCCAAACCTTTTGCTACTTAATTTGTTCCAATAGCCTTTCGACAAACATTCTGCAGTTATTTCTTTGTTCTTTCTGACATAATTTGCCAGCAAAGAATGCAATTTGATTTATGACTTTATTTTTTCCACATATTACTTTAGCCATTTTTCCATGGCAGGAGACAAATTTTCCCAAGTAATATGTGACTTTGTTTGTGTTTTACTATTAAAATAAAAAAATTCAGAAGAATATTCCAAATGTTTTAGATTCAATTTTGTTAAATTTTGTAAATTATTGGAAAACTTACTTGCTGAAATTATAAAGTTACATGATGGTTTCTCAGTAAACTGACTATAACTCCAAAGCATGTGATATGTTTAGGGTAAGGTTTGTTATTTACAACAATTGAATTAGATATAGATTCCAAATAGTGCTCCTGAAAACTATTTAGCTAACTTCATATCAGATCTAATTTTTCACTGTTTTTACCATGTTGTTTTACAAGCCAAT